ATATAACTGACACGAAAAATCGATGAGCTTTATCGTCCTGTCGGTACTAAAAAGTTGATRTAAGKTAGCGTAACTTACGAACACAAAATACCACATCTCTTTTTCAAGTAAGTTAAGCTAAGTACTTATTTCTTTATCTGAAAATTATATTAGATTTTGAGAAAGATAACATGTAAGCTTAATCAGTAAAATTTTGGATGACTTTTTTGCATTCTTTTCTCATATGCTAGTGCTATAAATCCAGATGCCAAAACAGAGAAAGAGCTAAAAGTTAGTGCTAAGATCAAACTATTCAGCTTTTGTTTAATTCGTACCTTACAGAGGTTGTTTCTTGAACTGGAACAGCTGCAAATGTTCTGAGATAAGTCTTAATTGTTTTTGTTTTGGGATCGATAGATAAGTTAAACAAAAATAACTTCAGATCCCTCTGGCTTTCGAGTCTTCAACAGGGCAGTAAGCTTATTGATTTGTAATTTTCTGGTCATTAGAAAATAAAAACATTTTCAAAAGTCCAGTGTACTTATGATTTGAGTCCATTTTGTTGCTTCTCCTGTCCAGTGAAGATCGTTGATCTTCAGAATATCCACACTGCTCGGCCTGCTCGACAAAATGTCCAGAAAATCATTGTTTTCATCGCAGCTTTTCCTGCATTACACAAGTGACCATCAGAATTTCGTTGTTGTCGAAGGTCACATTATGCATCCTTCTTTTGGGCTATATTTTTGCTCAGAGTTGACTTCAAAACTCTGAAAAAGCTTAGTTTTGTTGCCTCTTGAAGAAATAAACTATCTATAGCTGTTAGGTGCGCAAACGCGTCTCTGAAATTGGCGGGAATGATCTTTCAGCGTTTTTTTCGTTTGTTTGTTCCTTGTATTCAGTTGTAAATTGTTTTATTTTTCTGGAAAGCGATTTATATGTTATTTATTTTAGCTTTTTGTTTTTATTTCAAATTATACTAATATAAAGTAGATTCAAAGTCATTGTTTGGGCTCCCTGTAGCTGAGAACGGTTCTCTTGATCGATCGTGATTGGCTGATGTAGCGCNAAACAGAGAAAGAGCTAAAAGTTAGTGCTAAGATCAAACTATTCAGCTTTTGTTTAATTCGTACCTTACAGAGGTTGTTTCTTGAACTGGAACAGCTGCAAATGTTCTGAGATAAGTCTTAATTGTTTTTGTTTTGGGATCGATAGATAAGTTAAACAAAAATAACTTCAGATCCCTCTGGCTTTCGAGTCTTCAACAGGGCAGTAAGCTTATTGATTTGTAATTTTCTGGTCATTAGAAAATAAAAACATTTTCAAAAGTCCAGTGTACTTATGATTTGAGTCCATTTTGTTGCTTCTCCTGTCCAGTGAAGATCGTTGATCTTCAGAATATCCACACTGCTCGGCCTGCTCGACAAAATGTCCAGAAAATCATTGTTTTCATCGCAGCTTTTCCTGCATTACACAAGTGACCATCAGAATTTCGTTGTTGTCGAAGGTCACATTATGCATCCTTCTTTTGGGCTATATTTTTGCTCAGAGTTGACTTCAAAACTCTGAAAAAGCTTAGTTTTGTTGCCTCTTGAAGAAATAAACTATCTATAGCTGTTAGGTGCGCAAACGCGTCTCTGAAATTGGCGGGAATGATCTTTCAGCGTTTTTTTCGTTTGTTTGTTCCTTGTATTCAGTTGTAAATTGTTTTATTTTTCTGGAAAGCGATTTATATGTTATTTATTTTAGCTTTTTGTTTTTATTTCAAATTATACTAATATAAAGTAGATTCAAAGTCATTGTTTGGGCTCCCTGTAGCTGAGAACGGTTCTCTTGATCGATCGTGATTGGCTGATGTAGCGCTTGCGCTGAGAAATTTCTCTGGACCCACTTTTCTCAATTTTCTGTAGCGCGCGCTTTGGATTTTTAACTTTTACTTAGAATATTATTTATAGTAATTGAGAAAAGAGGGTCCAGTTCTGAACTAAGGTCATTGATGTTGGTCAAGAAAATGGCAATGATTACATGACATAAGATGCGGATAATGACGACGAGTCAATTCTCGAAAGTTCTGCCCAGCGTTGGCAAGCCTCATAATAACTTAGCACTTCGCTGAACACTTGTTTTGCAAAACAACTCTCGGGCTTTAATAAACGCCAGATTACACGCCTGTGTCCACGACCAGATGTTGCTTGTGCTTACACTCCCCAACTGGATAAATTCCTTCCTGATCTTATCCCTAAGTGCAAAACTGATGATAAGTCCTTAAGGAAAACTCAAGATCTTGTATTGGATGTTCTGAGCCCCATTGCTATGTCATATGAAATGGTACAATCAGCCAGGGACAATCCAGCAATGCTGGATACTTCGGATTTATTGAGCCTTCTCACTAGAGCTCTCCAACACATTGGTAATGCCAACCACCACCTCTCTGATAAGAGAAGGGCTCAAGTCCTGAACAAAATTGGACATACGTCACTGTCCAATGAATCATGGGAAAACCGTGGTAAAGACCTTTTTGGTCAAGAGTTTGAGAAACGACTCAAACAGAGATCTGAGACAGCCAAGGCAATCTCCAATGCCACCTTTTCCCAACGAGGAAAACAGTATTTTCCAAGGGACGCCTCCTCAACAAAAACATGGCATCGATATGGCGTAAACAGCCAACACAACCCATACAACCGTTACAACTCCCAAAGAGGCCTTAGCTTCAGGCAGTCCAGGCCATTTCTCAGGGGACGGGGGCGAGCAACAGCAACCTCAACCCAAACAACAACCCCTCAAGTTTAACTCTAACACATTCAGGTATGCCTATAAAAACAAACTCAAACAGTGTTTTACAAAATTTGCCACCTGCAGGCAGAATAGCCCACTTTTACAAAAATTGGTGCACTCTAACAAGCGACCCTTGGGTCCTAGCAACAGTGTTAGGTCAAAAGTTAGACTTCATTTAGAACCCAAACCAACTTTCTGTCCCCAAAATGCACTTAACGTCCGACCAAATGGAATTAATCGACTCAGAATTGTTATCACTTCATCAAAAATCAGCCATTCAAAAGATCACCCCTACCTATGGCCAGATTCATTTTATAAGCCCCTTATTTGTCGTCCCAAAAAAGGGAGGTGGACACAGACCCGTTATCAATCTAAAAGGTCTGAACCAGTTTATAGAGTACCAGCATTTCAAAATGGAGGGCATAACTATGTTTAACAGTTTAATTAAAACCAGGGGACTACCTAACAAAACTGGATCTGAAAGATGCCTATCTAAGTGTGCCGATTTGGAAAAACCACCGAAATTCGACGACGACATTCACGACATTCTGATAATGTCAACCAGCCCAAAGCAGGCAAGGGAACACATATTGCTTGCAACCACTCTTCTCTCAAGCTTAGGGTTTACCCTAAAGATAGAGAAGTCAATTCTAGACCCATGCCAGGGACAGGAGTTTCTAGGGTTCTTAGTAAGCTCTCTAACTATGACCCTATGTCTTCCCAAAGACAAAATTCGGGGTATCAAGAGAGATTGCCAACAACTCTTAAACAACCCTTGTGTTTCGGTCAGAGTTCTCTCACGTCGGACTTTGTCATCTACAGAACTTATCAGGTCTTCACGTTCTTCATAGAACTCGTCTTTATCCTTAAACTGAGCTTTCAGAGTAGGTGCATAAGCTGAAATTACTAGGATGGTACTTGTTTGGTTGACATTTTTAAGGACGACAATCTCTCATTTATTGCAGATGGTGCTTGGATTTAGCTTGGATGCTAGAAATGATGCTATTATGTACTGCAAAGTCAGTACCATAGGTAGCCTTTGCTCTTAAAAAGCAGAATATTTATTAATCTTTTGACAAATCATCTTCCGCCGTATGTGTGAGCGCTGACCACACGTCAGTATAAAATATCAATTCGAAAATTTAAAATTAACCAGCAGAATAATCATGATATTAACAAAAAATACCGTAATTTTCGAAATACGTATTTATGGTCTTTCCCTCAAAGATTTTGTATTTTTTTCTCCAATCATGGTATATAAGCTGATGGCCTAGTAGTAGAGAAACCAATCAGAGAGCGCGCTTGCTCACATTCCGCAACGATTCAGCGTATGTAGTGTTTAAAAAACGAGCAGGAGTGCTTTATATAATATTAAAGGATAGTCATCTATTATTATTACTCTACAACTATTTCTATCTGAAAAATTGTGCTTCCTTGATATTGCTTGCGATATTTTGTTGTTGAATATTAAAAGCAATTGAGCATTATGCTGTAAGTAATATAAGCCTTTTTCCAGACTCACTTGCGTAGAGAACAAAAGAAAGCACGAAAAAAATATTCTCCGATTTGAGGCTTAGACTGAGCAAGAGTTTGAACCTTCTGGGAATACAGAATCGGAGAAATGCACATTTATAGGGCTATTGTAATGACAACATTTTTTCGTGCTTTCTTTTGTTTTTGGTAAGGTCTCTGCGCACGATAGACTGTTGTCAACTAAAGCAGCGGTTGTTCGCTTTCAATGGGAAAAAGGCTATTACCTTGGAAACTGGATATTCCTCAAAACGTTGGCCAATTATTTCTTCTTTTTTTCGGAAAACATCCAGTTTCCACATGCAACTATCACTGACAGCATAATTCCCTCGATTCAACTACTTTTATAAGTGTAGAAATACAATTGACAGTTTTTTATCGCTGTCCTTTGAAATGTAACCCATAAATATATCCTTTTTTATAACTTTTTAAGTATAACCCAAACATTCGTCTTCTTTCCATCAAATTCTTGCAAAAAATGAAGCATTTCATTGTACGTGGGTGCACTGTTGAACAAGCTACCCAAGAATTATAAAACGTCTATTGTCTACTGGAATGGATGACTACTAACAGTTCTTTTGCCTCCTGAAACTATCACAGTTCATTGACTCAAAGAGATTCTGTCTCAGTTAATTGAATCCAATAATGTAATGGCGAATGGTCTTCGGACGGTCGCATGGTCGCACATTTTAAGCTTTGCTCAACAGAATATAACTAACCTCAATGTCTTTTGGCGTGACAGTGTCACAGAATGACCCATCAGCAAAAGCCACAATGTAGAATTCTTCAGAAGTCATGGTTAGAACCTTTCCTTTGTAGTATCTGCAAATAATTCAATTCAATTTATTTATTTATTTTATTTATTTATTTATTCAAATTTAGAGTGTCAACATGTACAAATACAAAATGACACATCAACTTGAAACTGTAGACAGCTGTTTCAGATGATATTAGGCGTAATTAGCACATCTAGTTGGCTTAATTAGCATGTCAGTGCAACTAGTAAATAAACACACAATGCTCTTCAATGATTTCTGAAGTCCCACCAGTCTTTGTGCTTCTTTTCTCACTCCCTCACTCACAAACGTATTTTATTCATACAGGGTTCGTAGTTTAGTTTAAGTTTAGTTTAATTGGATTCGTCAAGCAAAACATTTACAAACATTTAYGTACATGCTATAAAAAAAAAGAAAAATTACATCACGAATGATCTGTTGACAGGTAAAAATAACAGGACGAAAGTCCCAATTGACAATTTTTACCCCCAAAAAATAAAACATAACTTAAATTTTACAAACACTAATTAGATATAAGTTCTAGTTCTTGCTATGAGTCTATGGAGGACGGTACAGAGTTAATTTATTAGAGTAAAATAAGTCAATTTCTTTTTTGAATAAAGTTATATTATTAGCCTTTTTAATGTCCGTTGGCAGAGAGTTCCATAGTGTAACGGTTCTGGGAAAATAGGACTGGCGGTAATAGTCTTGAGTGTGGTGAGAAATCGATCTATAGTTTGTAGAATCAAAGTTGCGTGTATTATATCTAGAAGTTGACTGGATGAGCAGGTTAGAAGAAAAGCTATGGTGTCGCTTCGAATCTTGTAAAGCAGAATGAGGTCATTGATCTCTCGTCTGAAYTCAAGAGGTAGTAAATTGAGTGACATAAGCCGCTCCGTGTAGTTGACGTCTGGTGAGGGATAGTTAAGTATGAATTTAGTGGCACGACGTTGAACATTTTCAATCAATGCGTTATACTTAGCCATATACGGAGACCACACATTGCAAGCGTATTCTAAATGGGGTCTAACCAAAGAGCAATACAGTAGCTGTCTTGTCGTTTTGTCATATATATCACAACAAACGCGCTTCACGAGGCCTAACAATTTGTTTTTCCATGACATGTCGGTACGCACAATTACACCTAGATCCTTTGTTTGATATGCGGGTTCAAGGACCTTTCCAGCCAGATAGTATGACTGTGCAGTGGGGTTCTTCTTTTTTGACATTTGTAGAACTTTGCATTTAGAGGAACTAAATTCCATTCCAAAGTCTATACTCCACTTATGTAAGCCGTCTATGTCTGCCTGTAAAAGGAGGTGTGATGTAGGATTTACGATGGGATGATATAGTTTGGAATCATCAGCGTAGAGCGCGATAGTTGAACCATTCCCAACGTAATTTGGCATGTCGTTTGCATATACAAGAAATAGCAGAGGACCCAAGATGGATCCTTGCGGAACACCGGATGTAACAGGTAGCCAAGACGAAAATGTGCCATTGAGTACCACGCGTTGCTGTCTATTTGTCAAGTACGATCTATACCAATCCAAAAGGTATCCTGTAATTCCGTAATCTCTTAGCCTTGACAAAAGATGAAAATGAGAAACCCTGTCAAAGGCTTTAGAAAGGTCYARATGAACAACATGGACCTCACTACCTCCAGCGATCTTATCCAAGATGTCATTGTAAACTTCTAAGAGTTGAGTGACTGTACTTTTGCCTTTACGGAAGCCATGATGTAAATAATAGAGACATTTCTCTAGGTGGTCGAAGCAGTATCTGTAAACACAACGTTCAAGGACTTTGGATACTAACGGCAGAAGTGAAACTGGTCTGTAATTCTCAGGTAAACTTGCATCCTGTTTCTGCTTGAAAACTGGAGTTATGTTGGCTCGCTTCCATGAACTGGGAAATGTACCAAGTGATAAAGATAAATTAAACAGTTGGCACAAGGATGGCGCAATTTGGCACGCTGTGTTTTTTAACAAGGCTCCAGGGATATTGTCCGGGCCACTAGCTTTACTTGGGTCAAGGTTTMAAAGCGCTTTTTCTACTTCCTCMGTATTTAGTTGGATATAACTCAATTCCATGTCTACTTGAGTAGTAGAGTAGACGTTAGAGAATGGATGAACTTCAGGGCTAAATACTGAATGGAAAAAGCGAATGAGCGTATTTGCCATTTCTTGGGTGTCGACTATGAAAGATTGGTCATCTCTTAAGAAAGTACGCGATGAGCTGACCTTTGACTGAGACTTCACGTACTGCCAAAAACGTTTAGGGTTCTCGGTGATGGAGTTTTTCAGTTTTCCTGCATGGTCTTTCCGTTTTTGAGATATCATTTTCTTTGTAGCACGTCGAAGATCGCAAAACTTAGTCTTTGCCGAGATAGAGCCAGTTCTGAAAGCCTTTTTCCTCGCTGCGTCTTTCTTTTTAAGCATCGAACGAAGCTCATTGTCAATCCAGGNCCCTGCGAGCTTGTAAAATTACGACACGAATGAACATGAAAGCGGGTGCTATCATGAAAATAAAGCTTACTAGCTGGAGTAATCTTACAAAATCTCCACAATTGTACAGAGAAGTCGTTTGTACTGTAGTATAATGAATCTCTTCTATTAAGAAGTAATAGAAGACGTACTGTTAGTAGGAAAGCCACGGAGCTCAATCGTGTGTGTCCGCCCGCCATGACTCATCAATTTGCTTCAAAGCTTGGCAAAATTGATCTCTAATAAAACATTACTTCACAACAACCAAGACTGATTCAAGGACTAAGTTATCATTTTCAAGGACCTTTTCTCCAAATTCAAGGACTTTTCAAGGAAAATTTGCATTTAAGGAGTTTTCAAGGACCTAGCTCCAAAATCAAGGACTTTTCAAGACTGTACGAACCCTGTCATATGATTTGTTTGATATTTCCTATTATCCATGAATTTTATGCAAAAAACAACAACAAACAAACAAAACTAAACATTGAATCCTTTTATTTTTTTAATTCACTAGGTTTTTTTTCCTTTCTGTCACACTATTGTTAATTCGACTGTATTTACCTTCCATTCTTGTGTTTGGCTATGACACATTGACCATTCTTGATTTCAGAGAAGTCACGTCTTTTTGACTACAAAAGAGAAAAATACCAAGCAATAAAGTTATGAGCACTAAATCTTGCAATTATCAAAGGGCTACACATAAGAAAACACCCATTTTCACTTCTAGGACCACAAAGCAACAGGTTGATCAAACCTTATGAAATTGCAAGCACTTAAATTGTGAGTTATGTGACATCATTTATCAACCCTATTGTACTTATTGTTTTAAAACAGCAAATTTCTACTGCAAAAACGAGCCGCAAAATTCAGATCTTTTTTACTGATCTTACTCTTACATATTAAGTGAAAAGTGCCTACAATTCAGGACTGCACTGTAAATATTCACGAAAGCATTTAATGAACTTCTTTCTTTTTGTACTAAATTACAAGATTTTGAAATCTACCTTCGAATGAAGAGAAAGCAATCGGGTATCACCCTAATATTTTAGTGGAGTTACAGAACCGCTGATCTGATAAGACCAATCATCTACCTTTTTTGTCTGATGATTGTTTTGTTTCGAAACTGTTTTCTAAAAAACGATCAATTTTCCTCATCGAACATCAAAACAATATATACGTATCAATTAACTGTCATACTCGATCTATCCATAGCCTGCGTATAGTGGAGGGGTTGGGAGAGGAGTGAAAAACAAGAGCTCTTGTTTTTACCCTCCTCCCCTTCCGTTTCTGCCCCCTACCCCCTACCCCCTACCCTAGTGCTGCTACACAGGCTAATCTATCCACTAAAGACAAGTCTCCTCTTGATCAATACGAATGTTCTTTCTACTGATGCACAGTAGTAAATAAAGGTCTGGCACTACCTTAAATTTATCTCTTCGATGTCTGTCACAATACGTCTCCACAGGCTGTGGCCAGTCGCTTGGCTCCAGTCTATTTCCAGCCATAATGTAACAGGTCACATGATATGCTGTAGCGCACTTCCCTGCACAGCACTGAACACATGCACTTTCCTTACTACCACTGACAGAATGGCAAATAGAACATTTCTGAAAACCATGTAAAATTGGAAGTTTCATTGATTTGAATACGTACAAAAAATACAGAAAAAACAGAATTGAAAATGGGAAATATTAAGCATCACTGGCAGGAGAGCCGTACTGATAATTTATGAAAACTTACAATGATTAGAAACAATTCGATTCTTAACCAGCCAGTATATAAAGTGTAAATTTTGCAGTCCACCAGGAAAGATTGGCTACATGACATGTACAGTACGGCTCTCCTGCCAGTGATGCTTAATATTTAACATTTTCAATTCTGTTTTTTTTTTTTGTATTTTTTGTACGTATTCAATTCAATGAAACTACCAATTTTACATGGTTTTCAGAAATAGTACATTATATCTTCAGTTGAAGCATGAGAGCGAGTGTTGTACACTTTGTATGTTGATATTGAGAAGCCATGCATTTATAGTAATTGTTAATTGAAAGTAAAAAAATGCTAGGTATTTCAAGGATAATTAGGGGTACCTCTTTAAATTGTAATTGAAGAGACTTTCATTTAATATGATAGAAAGGATTTGACATTGCTGCATGGAGATATGGATGTCATCTTCTCATGTCGAATTTGATATGCTCACTCGTGAGATCTTGTCAACACTCGAAGATATAAGTCTATATCTCAGCCTGCCCACATATGTGATATCCTCTATTTATTACAAGGGTTATTTAAAAAAACAATAATTATTACGCCCAATATTGATACTGGAAAGCATATTGGATTCCAATACTCCATTTTCGAATTCAAAGCGAATTTGTTTTTGGACAGGTCTTTGCACAAGAGAATCTGTTGTCAAATAGAGAAGTGTTTTTTCGCTATGAATTCGAAACTGGAGTATACCCAAATGGATTGTTGCTACTGGATTCCACTTGATTGCTTTTTCATCTAATTACTATAGACTGTCAAATCCTCATTTAACACCGATGATAACAATGCTTTCTTATATTACTAACAGACTACTGGAATTCCGGAAAAGCTGCATAAACTTCCAACCTTACCAATTTCTTCCTGCCTTGTGGAATTCTGTCTGTACAAATGTCTTGTCGACGCCCAGCATCTTGAAAGAAAACTTCTGGAATAGCTAATGCACATCCAATGTGTGCCCATCTAAACAAATCCAATAGAATATTGGTTAGTGAAATGCATTTTTAATACTCTTGTGACGCTTCACATGATGAGAACATTAAAATCATTTCCACTGAAATACAGGGTAAGGGCACTATGTAAAAATGTATTCTGTTGATGAGTGGATTTGGATAACTAGCACTGCAATCAAACTAGAATTTAACTCTAGTGGTGAAATCTGACAGTAGTGAAGAGGCTTCATATACACCTATTTCAAAAAACATTGTCGTCGTCAGGACACAAAATCTCGGAATTGCCATAATTTATTATAATACATTATATATTCACTTTCAGTATTTCAAAATTCTTGGTGTTTTAGTTTATTGACGTTTTGAAAACCTTGAATATTTTTTCATAGCTTAATACCCGTAATTATAGTATATTAGTGTGTTTGCCCCCATTGAATTCAAACCACATAGTCAAATACATATTTTGAATATATGAATTAATGGAAATCCCAAGATTATTGGCAGGCTGATGACTGTGTCCTGGTGACAACAACGTTTTTTGAAATAGGTGTATAATATATATTTGTCTATTAGTTAACAGTCAGGAATATATATCATATATATATTTGTGTGATTAAATACATATTTCTGTCAAAAAGGCATGATAATTCTAACTAAGTTGTATCATCGTCTGCAAAATGCCAAATCAGTCATGTGATGTTCGACACATAACTTTGGCATCAAGCAATTAATAAAAGTTAAACTTGACCTACCTATAAAGCAATTGATTATATTGTGATTTTTATATATATGCTAGTTAACATAAGTATGTACGGTTTTCCAGAAAATTGTCGCGTTTTATTTTGATGAAAGTTTTAGGATCCATTTATTATAATATATAAACATATCTGTCCAAGTTTTAAGAAATTCCTTGTAGCCGAAGTCTTGGAACAGTGCTGCCAAATAAAATGTCAAAAATAGTTGAAAAATCACATCCGCTCCAAGGAATTTTAAACTTGGCAAAATTGTGTCTTAAAAATATTTAACTTTTTATCCTGAATAAAATGGACCAATATTCTGAAAAATCGAGCTTTTGTGTGAACATTGTTAGTATATATTAATTAGCGTGTAAATTCACTGCAATTACTTGTGCATAAAATGTAATCCCAGCATATCATAGTATAGGTAAAAGATTGATTTTTAGAGGTAGGAGTTAGTCAACTTTCAAGTCCATTGTTTGAAAGAAGCCATATTTATTAACTTAAAAAACTCATACATAATGAATGAGCTACTAGGCCAATAAAGAATACTAATAAGGGTGACCTTTATCAGATATAAAGGTCCATGACCCAAACAAAGGTCTCAGGTTTCAAACCTGATCATTGACCAATGCAGGATGTCAACCGATTTCAGTGAACAGCCAAGAGCGCTTCTATTTTACTTTATGCGTATTCAATGTGGGATGACAAGAGTGCTTTGTAAAGTGATTCGCGCATGATCAGTTTGCCCCAATTATCTCTGAACATACTTGTACGGCAATTTCTCCAAGAATTTTAACGGACTTGAGTTTCAAATTAGTGTTGGAGTTTTTTAAGCCRTTTAAAACACTCGAGATCGTGTTTTATCAGGTATAAAGATTCTCGCCTTCGGCTCGAATCTTTATACCTGAATAAAACACTCTCTCTCGTGTAATAAGCCATTAAATTGGCATTTTGTAGATGATGATCCATCTTAAGTTTAGATTACTTTTCCACGTTACAGTACAGCACATAAAACAGATAATGCAAAYCCTATAAAGTTTCCATTTCAGTTGAATCAAAGTCCTAAGATATGTGCATATCAGTATTAGATGTAGTAATATAAGCATGTACCTGTTGTCTACAGTTCTTTTCAATAGTCCACCACGTAAAGTGCACAAACAGCAATTCTAGAAAAAAATCCATTCATAGCTAGCAGTCAAAAAATGACGTCTGTAATAATTTTTTTTTTCCAGTTATTGATATATACCAGTTTATATACTCATGACATTCATTAGGCCCTCCCATTGCAAACATCATATGTACATGTATCATCCAGGATAAACTACTGCAGCAACAATTACAAAATGATCCCCAGAAATAGTAGCAGTCTCAGCACTAAATACTTCAGAAATGGCAACAAAATGTAAAATCTTCATTTTTCTATAGAAACATAAAGGAAATAAAACTGAGAAGAGCAATTTTATCCATGGTCCAAGCATAGTTAATATATAACTATTGTTTGAGTGTTCTCACTTCAAGGCAAAACACTGACTTTTCAGCAAATTATACAGTCATACATGTTCATAGTGGGAATTTTATATTTTAATTTTTATGGTTATGGGTTTCCTGTTTTGCTACATAGACAAGACACAAACATAGTGCGTACACATTGGATCTCTGAGTCAGTCCATGCAAATAGACTCAATGGTACTATTATACAATATTTCCTTATTCTATGGTGCTCCTCTATGAAAGGTACATGTAATACTAATAATACGCCTATACCTGAACAAAGGTAGTAGAAGCAAGTAAATAATAATTATAATAGAACAAAATCAGCTATCTCTCGATGCTGCTCTCTTTTGCGCTCTCTGTTCTTTCTTCTTTGCATTTTTTCAACTTCATTATCGTTCAGCCTTTTACAGACGTTCTTGGTTGTTGCCGCTTCCATATCGTGGACCATCTGCTGCCATTCATTCAAGGCAATAAGTACATGTACATACTAGAGGAATTAGCCTTATTGTGGCACGTCTAGTCTACATAAATATGTTTATACTTACAGTCCATACAATATCATTTTCTGTGGTTTGAGAACAACGACCACATTTCCATGTGCTTTCATGCGGAACTCCATCAATACCATAACAACCTGCAAGAATGCATGTGTTAATTCATTGATGGAAAAAAACATTTTGTCAGTATAAACAACAAGCTCCCAAGTTGTAGGAAAGGAATAAGGGGGAAGATGCCAAGTCAGTGCCAAGTTCATGTAAAACAATATGCTGGATTGTACTGTCCAATTATAATCAGTATACTCAAGTAGGGATGAAGGTCAATAGCCTTGGGAAAAAAAAACTTTGCAAAGCTGATTCACTATCCTCCGAGCTCCCAGAGGAGCTCTCAGAGGAGCTCTCAAAAATAGCATCAGAGATATACATGTACAGTCACATGGTTTTCACATCCAACTTAGCCACCAAGCCCTCCATTCCCTATGACAGCTATATCCCCCATTAGCACAGAGAGGCAGTCTTCCAAGCTTACAACACCAAGGAGAAAACATCTACAATCGTTGCCAAAATACCTTGGACCGTACAATTATTTGCCTTCAGCCTAACATTTTTCTCCTTTATTTTTTGACAGTTTTCCCCCGTAGCCCCCTTTCATCAATGTTGGGTCTTGTTTTGGATGCTTGTGTACTATGGTAACATGATCAATGACAACATTGCATTTAGGGGGTCAGGGGGGATGAAATTGTGTGCTGGTGTTGCTTAAAATGACGAAATTCGCTGGAATGGTCCAAGGTTTTTGTCAACGATTGTCTGACGCCTAATTTACTAGAGAAAGGCAATATTTACCAAACTAGTTTTTCATACTTTGAAATAGAGTGAAACATAAAAACACAATTGCTTTTTATGAAATTCCGTCAATTTGAGGTCCGCATATTTAGTGCTTATTGCAGTTAATTCAAGGACAGTAAGACAATACAACAATTCCACATAACTGCGACAAAAGTTTACAGAGCTAAACAAATTATGGAGTATCTAACAGGGCAAAAATTACACGGAAAATAATTTTGAAGTCATTAATTACATTATTCTAATGATATCATAAGAGATTGCACCCCTTATGCCTTGAAAACGTAGGTGCGCGAGGATTACGACTTCTGACTTGGGGGACTGGGGTGCGTAGATTTTTGTAGTTGGCACGATTCTCATCACGGTTCTCACTAAGAAAATTGGCTATTTCAACCTCTGTTTCGTATAAATTTCAGCAAGTTAGCATAGTTTGANTTAAGTCGGTAATTCGTATTGATTAAGTAAGATTATTTTCACTTTTGTAAGTGAGAACCGTCGACGGGGAATTGAGAACCGTCAAACATAGCGTTCAATAGTTGGTACTGAGAATAAAATTCGCGAACATTCTACATGGCATTGCTTACAAGTTTGCTTTAAATGCATGGTTTCATTAAAATAGTTCACTTTTGTTGGGTTATTTGAATATAGTTTGCAGAAAAAGATACAAAATACGCCAAATTCTATAATGACACAGGGTGCCCAAGTCGATATACACAGAGCCTTTTTGTCCAATAGCGTTGAAAAATGTTCCTTTCACAGACTTTTTGTGCACATGTATAAGCCAAGCAACGTTCAGAAAGAGTGATATATACCCTCTATCAAGCTTGTGTGTTTTATAAGCAGTTTTGTGTGTATAAATGGCTACATGACGTCATTGCCAAGTCAAAATGTCGACTATTTCAATGATAGAGACACCGAATCGAAAGATGATGCCGATATCCTGCTATCCACATTATATCCCTACAAATGTGACAACATGGATATAATTCAAATTAGCAAGACGAAGTTTCTTCTCAGACAATCGTTGCCAAAATACCTTGGACCGTACAATTATTTGCCTTCAGCCTAACATTTTTCTCCTTTATTTTTTGACAGTTTCCCCCGTAGCCCCCTTTCATCAATGTTGGGTCTTGTTTTGGATGCTTGTGTACTATGGTAACATGATCAATGACAACATTGCATTTAGGGGGTCAGGGGGGATGAAATTGTGTGCTGGTGTTGCTTAAAATGACGAAATTCGCTGGAATGGTCCAAGGTTTTTGTCAACGATTGTCTGACGCCTAATTTACTAGAGAAAGGCAATATTTACCAAACTAGTTTTTCATACTTTGAAATAGAGTGAAACATAAAAACACAATTGCTTTTTATGAAATTCCGTCAATTTGAGGTCCGCATATTTAGTGCTTATTGCAGTTAATTYAAGGACAGTAAGACAATACAACAATTCCACATAACTGCGACAAAAGTTTACAGAGCTAAACAAATTATGGAGTATCTAACAGGGCAAAAATTACACGGAAAATAATTTTGAAGTTATTAATTACATTATTCTAATGATATCATAAGAGATTGCACCCCTTATGCCTTGAAAACGTAGGTGCGCGAGGATTACGACTTCTTACTTGGGGGACTGGGGTGCGTAGATTTTTGTAGTTGGCACGATTCTCATCACGGTTCTCACTAAGAAAATTGGCTATTTCAACCTCTGTTTCGTATAAWTTTCAGCAAGTTAGCATAGGTTGAATAGAGGGATTCATTTTTAAGCGAAAAATAGCTTAAAATACTAATTTTGAATACATTTAAGCAGAAACTCCGACGGTTCTCACTTTATAAGTTAAAACTAAGAGCTAATTACTAACCCATTTTTTTAGTTGTTTAAGTGAGAACCGTTGTGAATCCACTGTATTTCTTAGCTATTTACGCCAAAACTGGCTAAATATTCTCTGCCGGTAACGACTCTCCGTATTTTAGAGCTTAAATCGGTAATTCGTATTGATTAAGTAAGATTATTTTCACTTTTGTAAGTGAGAACCGTCGACGGGGAATTGAGAACCGTCAAACATAGCGTTCAATAGTTGGTACTGAGAATAAAATTCGCGAACATTCTACATGGCATTGCTTACAAGTTTGCTTTAAATGCATGGTTTCATTAAAATAGTTCACTTTTGTTKGGTTATTTGAATATAGTTTGCAGAAAAAGATACAAAATACGCCAAATTCTATAATGACACAGGGTGCCCAAGTCTCGCCCCGTGTAAGAGAATCCGGAATCCGGAATCCACTAAAAAAACAGCTTTGGAATCCGGAATCCCAATATTTGGAATCCATAATCTGGAATCCAGCAAAAATTTTGATATCTAAAAAACACATAGGACATCGTCCCGCTGACGCCCCTGCCCAGGCTAGTGACACGCTGAATTTAAAATTTTCAGGAAAAAAAACCTTGAAAATCAGGCCATTTATTATACAGAATCTAAAACAAAAATTCTTTGGAATCCGGAATCCCAAGGCTTGAAATCCGGAATCCAATGTTTCGGAATCCGGAATCCAGCGCTTGGAATCCGGAATCCTCTAGTTCTGTGGATTCTCTTACATGGGGCGACAAGTCGATATACACAGAGCCTTTTTGTCCAATAGCGTTGAAAAATGTTCCTTTCACAGACTTTTTGTGCACATGTATAAGCCAAGMAACGTTCAGAAAGAGTGATATATACCCTCTATCAAGCTTGTGTGTTTTATAAGCAGTTTTGTGTGTATAAATGGCTACATGACGTCATTGCCAAGTCAAAATGTCGATTATTTCAATGATAGAGACACCGAATCGAAAGATGATGCCGATATCCTGCTATCCACATTATATCCCTACAAATGTGACAACATGGAGATAATTCAAATTAGCAAGACGAAGTTTCTTCTCAGACAATCGTTGCCAAAATACCTTGGACCGTACAATTATTTGCCTTCAGCCTAACATTTTTCTCCTTTATTTTTTGACAGTTTTCCCCCGTAGCCCCCTTTCATCAATGTTGGGTCTTGTTTTGGATGCTTGTGTACTATGGTAACATGATCAATGACAACATTGCATTTAGGGGGTCAGGGGGGATGAAATTGT